GATCTGTAAGCTGACACTTGATAAAGAAGAATCAGTGCAAAAAATCTGGGAGAAAAACATTTCAGGCTGAAGAATGGCATATACAAAGGTCCTAAGGCAGAAAAAAACAAAGCTTAACGTACCCAAAGGAAATATTCAAGGCAGCATGTCTGGAGGCTGCTGGATGAGGGTAAGAGGTAGGCAAGTGGAGCTCCAGTGTAGTGAGTGTGGGTTTTATTTTCAATCAAAAATCGTAAGAGGGCATTAGCTCGGCAAAGGTGTGCTCTGATTTCCATTTTCCAAAGATCATTGTGGGTGGCCTGTGAGGGGAGTGCCAAGACAGGAGGCAGAGAGATCAGCTGATGGTGGCTTGGGCTAGATGATGCCAATGACGATGGGAGAAGTGGCCAAGTCCTAGAGGTATTCAGTTCACTGGTTTTCTCTGCAACCACCTCGGGAGCTGGTAGAGGGAAGATTCCCCTCCTGAGTGATCTGTTTTTCTATCCTTCACCCCAAGCTTCCTAGATGTTCAGGGTTGACTCAACAGATCTCTGTGATCTACCATGGTGAATGTGACAGGGGGTAATGGCAGAAGGACTTCGGCAAGAAGTTCTGGAATTTCTTGAGCTGTTCTGATGGATCCACCCCTTTCCTTTTTTGTCCCTCTGCGTCTGCAAAGGTGATCTAAGAACTGTGCGGGCTGGGCGGCGAAAGTGCAGGAGTTCGTGGAGTTGCTTCTCCATGCTGGCAGTGGGACTCGGGGATTTTACACCTGTGTAAGGGGACTTTAAAAAGTGCTTGGGAAAATGGGCTGAAAAGCTAGGTGTCTTGGGGGTGTGAGATTTCTTGCAACTCACACGTAATTTTTTCATGAGACACATTTCTCCTAATCTTTTAGAAGATCCCCTGGCATACTGTTTTGTCAGAGTTAATTTGCACAATCTTGATACCATCTAATCCTATGCCTTTGTTTTAGAGATAAGCAGATTAGAAACCCCAAAAGGAAAAGGAATTTCATGAAGTGGGGTAGAAGGGCAGGGTGGGCAGACCATCAAATACTGGCAACTTTGAATCCCATCTAAATCCCTCCTCCCCCTTGGACACCTTGGTATTGTTTATCCACATCCATTGGGCTGGGGTCTTTCTCTGGCTATTGTTGACTGTTAGTATTGCACAGTGCAAAGGAATCTCAGGGCAGACCTGCAGGTCTTCAAAAAAAATAAGGTTTCAATAAGTCAGCAACAGTGATGGTTGGAGACCATGTCCCATATCATGGAAAATCCTTGATGAATGGCAATTTGGCAGACACAGACCCATTACCACTAGCAGGAAAGAAAGTTGACCTGGGTAGGTTAGGCTGAAGACTTCAAAGAAAATGATTCAACTCTCGAAGGATCACAAGAGGTCCTTGGGATAATTGAAGACACTCTCTCATTTTGGAAAAAAAAAAAAAAACCCACAACTCCCCTGCCCTCGTCTGCTTATGACCGTGCTGCATAAGTCAATACTATGCTCTCATGCACTTTGATCAGGAAAATTACATTACCCTCCAATGCTTGATTCTTTCTTTGTTCACCCTTAGAATGAAGGCATATTCACAATTTACACAGTTTAAATGGAAACTCAAATATTCTCTACATTTCCAATTGTACTTCTCCAGATAAAGACTCAAGCAAACCCTTTCCGCTTGCTCTCTACTGTGAGACTGGTCTCCACTGTGAGTGAATTCTTTGGAAGCTGCCCTTTTTTAGCACCACTTGTCCTCATGTAGCCCTCACCTTCTCTTCGGCCAGGGGTCGGGAGGCCTGGCCTCGCGTTAAGAGTCATTTGTGAAGTTACTTAAATCACATTGAGGCGGCGAACCTCTGTCTCAGACTAATAAAGTCAGATTGTCTGCTGATGGGGCCAGAGCTAAAACTGCAAGTGATTCCGATGTACTGTCAGGCTTGTGAGCCACTCTTCCTCCTGTCCCTGCTGGTACAACCTGGACAGGGGCGACACAGAGAGGCAGCTGCAGTCTTGTTCTTCTGGGGCTCTGTGATATGCCTGTTGGCAGTTGTACTGTCTACATTCTGCAGTGCCTGGCATACTCTCATGACTCAGTAGGCAGATTTTGAGTGAATGAGGGACTAAGTCCCACACAGGCAGGATATAGTAAGTACTGCTCTAGTGGTAAAAAAATAAAAAAAAAAAAAAAGCAATTGAAGTGTAGGAGACGTTGCTTCCGGCTGGGGAGAGCCAGGGCAACGTGGTAGAGATGGCATTTGAGCTGCACTTGACAAGCAGATATGTCAGTGAGAAGAGTGGCATTCCAAGCCCAAGAAACAATATGAACAAGAGCAGAAGAGGAGACGGTGCAGAGCCCTTTCTGAGAAGAAACAGCAGGGAGCTGCAGCCAGGCTGGGAGTGTACGAGCACCTACGCTGGAAGAGCAGATGGAAGGGTGGCATTGGAAAGCCAGCAACCTGTGGTGCCCTGCTTACTTGATTCTAGGGGCAGTGTGGAGCCAGCCAACATCTCATTTCTTATGATGTTTCTGAGGGGCATACTTAGAGGATATTTCAAAAGGCTCATGGAAAGAGGAATTTGAAGAGAAATTTGTCTTGGGGCAAAACAAATTGAAGGGCTAATATTACAACCGAGCTGCTAAAATGCTGCTTGCAATGCAGACCGGTGGGATAGGAGAGCTTATCTGAGACCCAGTCGCTCTGCTTCAAATCCAGTTTCTTGCTGATTACCTTGGGCAGTAGAAGACAGTCCAAGTCCTGGGACTGCAGCTACTCATGCAGGAGACCTGGATGCAGATCTAAGCTTCTGGCCTTGGCCTGGCCTAAACCTGGTTGTTTTAGTCATTTGCGAAGTGAATCAGTGGATGGAAAATTCTCTATTTCATTCTTTGTCTTTCTCTGTCGCTCTTCCTTTTCAAATAAATAAGCTATTTTTTTTTTCGAAAAGTTTTGAAACCCATGGACAGCTTTTTTTCAGAATCTGTATTTTGAACTTTTTGAGACCCTTCCTGTGCTTGCTTTTGGAAGATTAGTGTGTCCTTCAGGGAACTCAACCACAGCAGCAGCAGTTCCTGCACAAGATAGCTATCGAGTGCCTCCAAAATGCCTGGAGCTGTAATAGGTGAGGAGTGGGTTCACGATGAAATAAGCAAGAAAGACATTAGTTGGACAATAGTGAAGCTATTGTAATCGTCTAGGCAAAAGCTCCTGAGGGTCCAAAGCTTCTTTGTGAGATCTGGGTTGGAAAGGTAGGGGAAGGATCTGAGAGACAGACGTGGAGACCGTTTGAGGAGGTGGTGAAGGGGAAAGCAGAGAAACGGAGTGACTAATGATCGTAATAACCATTAGCTTTGGAGAAGTTATGTGCACATGATGTAATGAGGACACTGAGGCTCCAGGAAATGCAGGAACTTGTCCAAAGTTGTACAGGGCTGAACTTTTCAGTCTGCTCCGGGCACCAGGTGCTAACTCCCATGCTATGTGGCTTTGGGGGTGTGTGGGTGGGGGAACAGAGGGGGCAGGGAAAGAACTCATGTTTTTCTGCTGGCAAAGTGACTCCACAGCACACTCAGGATGCTGGAGCCCCTTCCAGACATGCTCTCCTGCCCCTCCCCCCTTTGTGTGAAAGAGGTAGTAGTGTTAGAAGCTCCTTTGCTCCTCTTGGTGGGAAGATGGGCCTGGAGAAGTGGTAGAGGAGAAAGGAAGCCGACAGACTAGAACCTAACGCTGCGGCAAGGGCAGAGAGCTGACAACACCCAAGCCGTGCATAGCTGGCCAACATGTTTGGTTGGAAGCAGGTGGATGGTTTCTTTTTACATATGAGCCAGAATCTCAGAAGTATGGGGGCTTCATATCAAAATCTTGAGGCCTGACTTCCCTTTGAAAAATGAGAAGGCATGAAAACAAGTGCCCCTCCCTGGCCCTGAGGCTTGAGTTGCCCCTTCTCATGTGCTCTGCAAGTCTCCCCAACTCACATCTAATTCACTCCTTTTCCCCAGCTCAGCCCATCTGCCTCCCCACAGTTAGCCACTATATCCACACATGCAGCTGCCTTTGTGATCTCTTGTGTAGGATGTTCCACTAGAGACTATTGCATTCACCCCTCCCCTGCCCCACACACCATTTTTGAGCCCATTGGAAGCCAGGCACAGGGTCAGTGTCACCTGGTCACACTCCTTCCCCAAGCTGTAGACTGTCTCCTAGGGTCACAGAAGCAAGCCACCACGTGAGGGTTATCATCAAGTCTTACCATTTATTTCTGTATGGGGTTAAACAAGAGCAGAGAAGCCTCTGCTCCACAATGCAACAAAACAGAAAGCAGCACACATACAGAGACTCTCACTGAAACACAGAGGCGGGGATAAGGGGCGAGGGGGAAGGGCAGAGACAACTGAATCATAGCTGGGTAAGGGAGGAAGGGGTGGGGGACTACTAGGAAACCAGCTTGGAGACTCAGTCATAGGAACTAGTGCAAGAAAGTCCTACTCATGAAGCACAGTGTAGAAAATGGCATAAGAAAGCTGCCCGGCTCTGCTGCCTGCGATGGAGGGCAGGGGCAGCCGGAGAGGTGGCGGGAGATCGGGGTAGGGAGGGGTTTGGTGGATTGGGCAGTCAAATGACTCTGAGGTGGAGTGTGGTGCCCCTTTCCCCTGCCACTGGGCAAGGCCATGGGCTGGTCTGAGCCAGGGGTCTCCTGGGCACTTGGTGAAGGGGACGAGAGGATGGGAGTCTCCAAGGATCTTTTTCTCTGGAGCCGTGTGGTCCCCCTTTACTTCCCAGTCCCTTTTCCCCTCCTGAGGATGCAGGAGTTAGAAGGCGGTACCTAGGGTCTCTCTAGACCAAGCACCTGCCCCTCCACTTACATGTAAGCACATCTGGAAAGGAGCCAGCACCTCTTCCCCTCCCCAGCCGCAAAGAGCAGTCTAGGGGTGGGGTATGTGGCCAGGCCCACAGTACTGAGGGCCAAACGGGGGCAGGGGTGGGACATGGGAATGGGGGGGCAGATTGTGAGAAACTGAGAAAACTGGCAGGGAAGGACGTCCCCCGTCTTGTGGACTCTATCTGGGACCTAACCAAGGTCCTTTGAGCAATTTCTTCTTCTCTAGGGAGGCCTCCCATTCATTACTAAGTCAATCAAGGTCAGCTCTCTCTTCTCCTGGGGTCCCCTTCCTGACTTCACTGTCATGCAGCTCGTGGTCCGCTCTCCTACTCCTCTGCCCGAGTCTCCCTGCCCTGCATTCACTCACTAGCATCAAATGCTAGAAAGGCCCATGCCTATGTGCCCCTGGCAGCTTCCTGGGAACTAGTTCTGGCTCCCTCCCTGACTCACCCTCGTCCTCAGCAATGTGGTCTCCCGTTGCCAGCTGACCAGTGCCAGGCTGATGACACCCAAGAGGCTCTCGATGCTGCTCCTCACTCAGTCCGCCAACCTAACTGCATGGTTCAAGTCTTCCAGCTGAGGGGTGACAACACATTATCTCTAGGCAAAAGGTCCTCCTGCCAGTCTCTGGACTTCCTCCAGGAAAGGGCAGGGGTGACTGGAGCAAGGGATCCACTACAGGGTAGGAAGGAGTCTGTTCCACAATTGGGGTAGTAACCCATGGGGTCAAGGATGGGAAGGGATGAATACTCTTTGGTAGGCTGGGAAAGGGGACAGGATAGGGATAGGGGAGGCTCATCTCTGGAGAACTCTGGGGAGTGCCACCAGGTTCTCCTTCATGGAGGCCTGGGCTAGGACAACATAAGGGAGTATGAGGACCCAGGCCAGGCCTGACCCACTTGGGCTTAAGTCCCTCCTCCCCACAGAGATTGGAAATGGAAAGGTCTTTGGCCCCAAGGCCAAGATCTCCAGGGCAAGAGCGGCCCTTGGGAGTATGTGCACCTTCTGTAAGATATGGCCCTTCAGACAGCGGCAGTCCAACCGTGTGCCCTCAGCCTTCTGTTCTGAGGCCCAGCAACTCAGTTCCTGTGCTCTTTCCCCAGAGACAGCCTTGCACAATGCTCGGATTCGGAGAGCAGTTCTTGATCCTGACTCAACACTAATTCACCTCCTCAATGCCAGGCAGCCCTGACCCACGTGCCAACCTCTCCCAGCACTACATCCACATCTCTACTTTGTTCTTCCCCTTCCCGAGCTTTACTTTCTTTTACCATTCATTTTGTGCCTCAGTTTTATCCCTCAATGCCTAGGATGCTGGGATAGGGCTTAGCTGAGGCCCCAGACTAAGCTGTAACTGCGCACCTCCACACCCAACCTGGGGCTTCACCTGCAGTGGCCCCACGTGGGCCAAGGTGCGCTGGAGTGGCAGGAGGGCCATTGCACTGTCTGCCGTCGCCTGTTGGGATATGGGCAGGAGGGAATTAAGGATCTTGGCAACAAAAGGAATGCAGAGGGGGGAAAGAGCTTCTCCCCTCTGTGCCCCCCCCCCCCAACATTCCCTGCAGGGCTGAGGCTGAGAGACCAGCCTCCTTCCCTGGCATCAGGACTCTCAGCAGCGGTGGATATTTCCAGCCCCTGCTCCCCCTCCCTTTTTTGTTTTGTTTTATTTATTTATTTATTTTTTGCTAAGCCCCATAGATGGGGGCTTGGGAGGGGGCACCTGCTGCTGCTCCTGCCTTTTTCTCCTGGATGAGTTTTGCAGCTCCCTGGGCCCCTCTGGCCATTGTGTTGGAGCTATTTTTTGGTTGGGGGGGTAGACTGGGAGGGATGCGTGGTTCCCTCTTCTGTCCCCCCTCCCAGCTCCCCCACCAAGTCCTACATTCCCCCATGAGAGGAGCCCCCTCCCCTCCACCTGGGGGGCGCTGGAGCTGATGCCAGTGTGTGGTGGAGATCTGTCCTCCCTCCATACTGTCACTCTTCCTGTGTGAGGCCCTCCTCAAGGGCAGGCAGTGTCTCCAAGCCTAGGCCCCCACCACCCTGGTTGCTGGAGAAGGACACCATGGTATGGAGGAGCATGAGCACAAGGACACAGAGCCGGATCCTGCTGGGGCTGAGGCGTGAGCCTCCGGAGACTGTCAGCAGGGAGGGCTTGGGGCTCACGCGGCCCGAAGGTTCATGGCGGGGGTGGTAGTGGTGGTACTGGTGGTGGTAGTGGTGGAAATAGGAGTGATGGAATTGCTGGTGGTGGGTTTTGGGGGCCTCAGGCTCCTTGAACTTCTTTTTTTCTGATTCACAGGAGACCCACTGCACGTCACAGCACTTGGTTTCTGGCCGCTTTGGTGAAGTATCCAGCAACCCTGCCAACGGATAAGGAAGGGGTGCTGCTCAGGGCGCTGCTGGCTGTGCCTTTCCTGGAGAGCAGATCTGTCAAAGCTGGGAGTACTCAGCTGGCGCTCTCCAAGACTCCTTCCCCCCGGCTCTCAGCACCCACCACTCCTTGTTTGGCCCTTGTCTCCTAAGGAACCCAGCCAGTTTTTCTAGTTGGGTGTGTTCTGGGTTAGAGATAGTCATTCTAATCTTTTTTTTTTTTTTCCTAGTCAGCCTGGCCCTAGCCCAACCTGGGGACCTTTTTAGTCTGTCCTCTTGTCCTCCCTGGGTCATCCCTGGGTCCCCAGCCCCCTTCCCCTTTCCGAGTGTCCTGCCTTTACCTGTACAGATAAATCCAGGGAGTCCTCCATACACCATTTCTTCATTGTCAGGGAGGATAAAGGGGCACCGGGTCTGAACCTCCAGGCAGTACTGTTTGCAGGGCACCCAGCGCTCACATTCCTGCTGGGTCACGCTGAAGTATTCTGAACACAGCCAGGCCTTGTAGACAGCCTGTGGAAAGAGGAAAAAGCATCAGCCAGAACATCTGCATGCTCCTATCTCAGAGAAGTCAGCGGAGGGGGTGCTGGGTTCCTCTCTAAGGATGAAGAGGAACCAAAACATCTGGGTCAAAGCCCCTAAACCCTGCTCTAAGATCTCTCATCTCATAGAAGGACTCCCTCCCCAGTCTGCAGTCATTCCAAACCAAGAATTTGTTCATCAGCAGAAGTCACAAAGTTACTCCTATGTAAGAGCTGGAAGGAAACTCACTAGTCATTCAACGCAATGCTATCATTTTACATGAGGTCCGAAGAGATGTCCCAATTTGTCTGAGGTCACCTGTATACACTGAAGCAAATCTCACTTCCATTCAGTTCAGTGAACATGTCTTTGGCTGGTGGCGTTAAATATCTAAATTCTAGAAAGAGCTGGAGAAAACCGTCCTTGCTCTACTCTATGTTGTGTTGTATGGATCAAATAAGATGGCACAGGAAAATGTTTGCAAACTCCAAGGTGCAACACAAATGTGATGGGGCTGTTTTTCATAAAAACAATAATCTGCCTCATTAGGTGTGACATGTGTCTCTGAGCTCTATTTAATGCACACTCTGTCCTGTTGGCTTCACCCTGGAGTGGAGCAGACAGCACGGAAGCTACTACTTTTCATCTGGTAGCTTGGTTTTGTGGTTTCACTGCATTGGTATACACCTGTTGTGCGTTTAGCCCAGCCCAGCTGGGCCCTACTGTCTATCCTCGCTGCCATCAAGTCCGGTGTTTCTCAATGGCAATACTGCTGACATTTGGGGCTGGATAATTCTTTGTTGTGGGAGCAGACCTGTGCACTGGAGACTATTGAGGTCTGCCTACTTACCATCTACTAGATGAGAAAAGCATTCTCCCTGCTTCCCATTAGAACAACCAAAAGCTGCTTCCAGTCATTGTCAGACGTTGCCTAGATGGGAGCAAAATCATGTCCTGTTGAGAAACACTGATGTAGTTTCTTGCTACTTAGAGTGTGCATCTGTGCCACTGCTGTGGCCATGGCCTACATGCTAGTGAGAAAGGCTCATTTCTCAGATGCCACTCCCGATCTGCAAAAGTCAGCACCTGCATTTTACAGTGTGCCCAGTTGGCTCACGCGTAGGACTAGAGTGCCATTATCTTCAGGGTTTCCTCCCTGTCTCAGACTTGGCCCTCACAGTGAGCAGCTGCCTCTCTTCCCTCCAATTCAGCAGCAAGAGGACTGAGGTGGGTTCAGGTGTTCTGCAACCCTGAACAAGGGTCGTTTGGCTATAGGAGGACCTTCAGCTGCACTCTGAACCACAGGGTCTTAAGATCTTTGTCACAGTTGTCAAGCTGATTTGAAACACGTACACTAAACTACAAACAACTACTGTGGACATGAACTGTGGCGACACAGTCCCACATTGGTTTTCTTCAAAGCCGCCATTGCAGTGGTGAGGGGCTTGGAGTACACTTGAATTTTCCAAGGAACAAAGCAGTGCCTAGACTTCAGGAACCCATAAACATCTCAAATTGAACATCCTCTCATTTTTAAAATGCAGTTTTTGATTTTTTGAATATCTCAAATCCGCCCTCACTCTCAAGTCTTGCCTGTTGGAGTCAGTATCAGAAAACCCAGATGTTGGCCTCATCCCTATCTTTCCCCACATCTCCACATCCAGTCTGTCAGCCAGCCATGTCAAGTCTAGCTCCACAGCACATCTCTGGGCAGACCACCATCATCTCTTATGTGGAATACAGTTTCTGATCTTGCCTCTCCCCTCCACCTCTACTGCTACTCTTTTCATCCAGTCCACTGTCCACACAGGAGTGACACTGGCCTCAAGCCACAATCAGATCACGTTCCTTACTTCCTTGCTTCAAATCCTTCAGTGCTCTTAGACTAAAATCTGAACGTTGAACCACAAACCTCTGCGTAACTTTTTTTCTCTCTTTCTCCAACCTCATTTTCTGTCTTCCCCTTGAGTTCATTATGTTCCAGAGGATTTCCGTGTTTTCCATGAACGTGTTCTACTTCTTCCTAGCTCGGATCCTTGGCAATGCTGTTCTCTCAGCCTGGAATGCCCCCTGCCCCGCTACTTTAGACTACCAGAATCATCTCAGATCTCAGTTTGAATGGCTCATCTTCATAGAGGGTCTCCATGACCACTCTTGCCACCCTCATTATCCCCTTTTCCTTAATTATTTCTTCACCAAAAATAATCCTTTGCCTGCATCTCTGTTTTCTGTTAATCTCACTAAAATACACTGCACATTAGCAGACATTGGTTTGTCATTATTAACTATTGTGCACTCAGCACAACATACATAAAAATCTGTTGACTGGATGAATGTTACAAGTAAATGAGGACAGGTCCCCCATTTGCAGAAATTTTAGTTTCAGGGGGTATAGGAACTAACAGCAAATACAGTGCAAGAGTGATACTATAGGAGAAGTCAAATCATGGGCCAGGAGAGGGAAGCAAGTAGAAAAACTGAGGAAGGTTTCCATGTGAGGATGATCACTGAGCTTGGGCTCAAAGTAGAACTTTAGATGGGTTGGGCAACAATGAGGCAAAAAAGCATTTGAGGCTGAGGCAAGCCTCTAAGCAGAGGCATGGAGGTGAGCAGAGGCATGGTTTGTGAAGGCAACAGAATTGATTAATATGAATATAATGGAAATGACACCAGTCTCCTGTCCATAGCCATTTGTTTCTGAATTGTCATTATTATAAGCAATGTTCCAGTGGATGTCTTTGTGCACATATCTCTGTCACATTTGTGTTCAATTTTGCTTATATACATTCCTAGGCATCTAGAAATTACTGGGATAAAAGGTATGTGCAAAAAAAAAATGAGAAGGAACCTAGCACGATAGCCTACTGGCTAAAATCCTCACCTTGCATGTGCCAGGATCCCATATGGGTGCCGATTTCTGTCCTGGCTGCTCTACTTCCCTCCCAGCTCCCTGCTGTGGCCTGGGAAAGCAGTTGAGGATGACCCAAAGCCTTGGGACCTTATGCCCACATGGGAGAGACTTGGAGGAAGCTCCTGGCTCTTGGCTTCAGATCAGCTCAGCTCCGGCTGTTGTGGCCACTTGGACAGTAAACCAACAGACAGATCTTTCTGTCTCTTCTGTTCTCTGTAAATCTCCCCTTCCAATAAAAAATAAAATATTTTTTAAAAAGCAAATGAGAGCCATTTAATAATTTTTTTAAATGAGAAGCAAGGGAAAATAAGCTAAAAGAGAATGGTTAAGAGAAAGAGTAAAAGAATGCTGGAGGGGCAAATGATGGCAGTAAAACTTGGGGGTTAAGAGACAGACACTGCCAGTGCAGTAAGAGGATAAAAGAGAGCAGGCATAGGATAGACAATGGTGCAACAGTTAGGTCCCAGCCTGGGACACCTACTTTCCATATTACAGTCCCTAGTAGGTTCAAGTCCTGGCTTTACTTATGATTCGACTTCCTGCTAACAGACACTCTCGGAAGCAACAGGCAATGTTTCAAGTATCGGGGTTCTTGCTACCCATGTGGGTGACCCTGAATAAATTCTTGGCTCTGATATTTAACCTGCTCAAACCCCAGCTATTATGGTCGTTTGGGAAACCAATCAGTGGATGGGAGAGCTCTTTCTGTCTGCTTTTGTCTTTATGCCTTTCAAATATATAAATTAAAATTACAAAAAGGTAAGAGCAGACAAGGGGATAGATAAAAAGAACAAGGTAGATGACAAAGATGGGAGTGTAAGAAGCAAGACTGGGGACAGTGGTGTGTTATAGCTGCTTGTGATGCTAGAGTTCATGTAAATGCTGATTTGAGTCTTGGCTGCTCCACTTGTGACCCAATTCTCTGTTACTGCACCTGTGTTGGCAGCAGTAGGTCATCCAAGTACTTGGGTTATTGCCACCCACATAGGAGATGTGGATGGAATTCCCAGTTCCCAGCTTCAGACTGGCCCAGCCCTTGCCATTGTGGCCATTTAGGGCATGGAAGATCTCTGTCTCTGACATTTTGCCTTTTAAATAAATAAATAAATAAATAAGAAAAGAATGCATAGTTAAGAAGGCATAAGAAAGCAAAAGAAAGGAAGGAGAAAGAAATATAAGGCAGGAAAGAAAATAAAATCACAAGAGTTCAGGGCTCCAGCACTTCAGAGGTTCCCATCCATCTCTTGGGCTCCACAATGCCAAGATTAGTCTATCCATAGCCATCACTCCAATGTTTGCTGCCTGCACCCACAGCCACCTCATTCTCAGACCTAACTGTGTGGCATCTCTCCCTCTGGTGCCCAGTGGTGGGCTCAGAGGTCTGTGTAGGAATCTCTCTGGCCTCTTCTGGTAAAGTGTCCCTGCTCCCTAAGTGAGGAGGTCCCAGTGGCTGGAGGCTGGGCAGTCCTTTCATCTGATTTTGAGGAGGGCAAAGGGAGGAAGGAAAGGAGGGAGGGACGGTTGGGGAGGGCATGGGGCACCAGGAGAGGGGTGGCCTGACAGTGGGAGTATGGCCTTTCTCCTTAATTAAGCGACCCCTTTCTCAGTCTCCACACCCCCAGCCAGAATCACCATGGCAACAAGTGGGTGAGCAGATTGCCTGGGGAGGACACCAGGCCTGTGGGTGGTGAGGCAGGAACAGGCAAGGAGCTAATGAGGGGAATGGAGGAGGAAGAGCTACACCGGCCTCAGAGGTAATTCAACTGCTTGGTACCACAGTCCTGAGAAGATGAAAGGTCTGGCTCTTGGGACTGCCACTTGAACAAAAAGGTCACCCACTCTCTGTTGTCCTGTTCCCTAGACAGGCCTAGGTAGCTTGCCCTGTCTCAGCAGGAAGCCAGGTTGTGTGGGTTGTCACAGGGGGACCTGGAATGTCGCCTACAAGATGAAAGTCAGGAAGGCCACGCCTGGGAGTGGGACTTACTGTGTCTGAAGGTTTGTAGATGGGGCCCCCACATCCAGTGTTGCAATATACCTCAGGCTCCACAGCCAGGGTGCAGAACCATCAACTGTGTCCTGC